TATTTATTAATGCAACAGCCTCGTGAAATTCATACAAATTTATGAGCTTAACACTCGTCAAATAATATAATGGAACAAAATTTAACATCAAATAAATGTAACAAAAATTTTAACAAACAAATAAAAACAGTAAATGAAGAACTAAGACTTAAGACTTAGGGGACTACATTCAGGCAATTTAGGGATTGGGGAGATTTGCGTCGAGATATTCTTTTAACTCGTAAAAAGGGTTTTCTATGAAGTAATTTTTTATGTTATTTAGGAATAGATTTGAATTTTCTGATTTAATGAAAAGTTCTTTTAATGGCTTGGGAAGCTTGTTAAAATATCTGATACCTCTGCTTTCTAAGCTATCCCAGTCTACTTTTTCCCCCCGTTTTTTTTCAATTTTTGCTAGGATATTTCTGGTTTGTATTTGATTATTAGTAATTAATTTTTCTTTGATGATGTAGCCTAATTTAATTGATTCCTTTATTGTTGAATATATATATACCTAGAGAAGACAGTCATCACATTGAACTCTGGGAATAGTTTTCTACAAGAGTCAAATTTTTTTTTGTTTGCAATAATTCTTAATATTTTTTTTGAGTTAAAAGAATATCTCTGGCACCTGTTGTATAGCCCCATAATTGTATGCCATAGCTAATTATGGAATCCACGTTAGAATGGTAGTACAACATGAGGGACTCCCTATCTATTTTCCTATTAAGTTTCCTAATAGCAAATGCCCTACTTGCAATTTTTTTCTCAATATGTTTTGCGTGAGAATGCCAATTTAGTTGTTGGTCGATGAAGAAGCCCAAATATTTCACTGTTTGATCTGACTGAATTTCCTTATCACCGATTTTGACCGATTGAAAATCTAATATATTTTTAGTGAAGTTTAATATAAAGGTTTTAGCAAAATTTAATTTTAGATTATTATCCTCTACCCATTTGTTGACTCTATCGATGACCCATTTAATTTTATTTTCTATATCTACCCCTTTAACTACCACATTGATGTCATCAGCGTAGATTACTGTTTGAAGGTCAATTCCATTGTCCTCTAGAAATCTGGCAGGTCATTTATGTATATAAGAAATAAAAGTGGACCGAGCAATGAGCCTTGGGCTACGCCAGCGGTACTAGGTGTGAAATTGGAATGATATTTTCGGCGATTTTTCGATACTTCGGTTGTTTGAAATCTACCGGAGAGGAAACTCCGAACCAACTTACAGGCTTTAGTGGAAAAGCCATATTTTTTTAACTTTTCAATTAAGATATCGTGATCAACTAAGTCAAAGGCTTTCGACAGATCAAACTGTATGCTTACGATTGACTCTTAAGAACAAGCATTTTTTAGTTGCCTTATTTGGTTTAGGAAGGTCATGACCGCTAAGCCTGTATTTTTTCCTTTTCGGAATCCAAACTGCGATGAAGTAAACAGATTGTTTTTTTCAAAATAATCATAGATTTGATTGTATAGAACTTTTTCGAGAATCTTTGACAAAAAAGGAAGTATCGCAATGGGACGATAATTTTTCAGATCTTTTTTGGAGCCTTTTTTATGTAGCGGGAGAATTTTGGTTAATTTTAATGATTCCGGGAAATTCTCTGTGGAAATTGTTTCGTTTACTCCTTGAACTATTGGATCCAGCAGAAGTTCCAAATTATCTAACAGTAATTTGTTGGGAAATTCATCCAAACCAACTGCCGCTTTTTTGTTCAGTTGTTTGATAATATTTTGAACTTTGTACTTTGTGACGGATTTAAAATCAAAGGAATTTTTGTTTTTATTTTTATCTCTCATTAAATTACGAGCTAGGGCTGGACTTCCTGTTTTGGGAAATTTTGCCCTGATGTTCACAAAGCTGTCATTAAATTTGTTCGCAATTTCTACTGGATCATCAATTAGCTTCCCATCCATCAGGAGGTCACTTACATTTTCGTAAACGACTTGACATTCTAAATCGTTTTTGATGACCTTCCATACCTCTGTATTTTTTTACTGGCAATGGCTGACTTTATGCGCTCAACATTTTTTGAGTATCTACAATTACTTATGAGTTTTTTTATCTTTTTATTTGCTCTGTTTACTAATTTTTTATATTTTCTCAAATTGTGGAACTTGAAGAGTTCCCAGTTCTTGTTTTTTTCTTTGATTAATTCCCCTAGTTCAATTTTTTTTGGAGATGGTAGCTCAAAATTATCTGTTTTCATTTTTTTCACTTTCAGCGGGAAAATACTGTTGTAGTTTTCTACAATAGATTCATGCAGTTCTTGTAAAGTTAATTTTTTTTTCGATTTTATGTAGTCACCTATGGCATTTTTAAATATAGTGTTATTTCTTGCAGAGAAATATTTTTTCATTATGGGTTCTGTCTCATTACCTTTTAGCTTTGTTTGTGAAGCAATACTACAATGGTCGCTTAGAGTGGAGTCAAAGACATTTATATTCCCTATATCAAAATTTGAAAGACAGTTGTCAAGGAGGGTTTTGGAGTTTTTTCCTATCCTACAAAGTACTATTCCTATTCTACAAAGTACGGCGAATGAAGAAGAAAAGGAGAGAGAGAAGAAAAGAAATCCGACTTAATTTTGAAGATTTTCCGCAAATTACGCCGTGTAAACGCTGGAAAGAAATATCCAACCTTGTTTGAAGCTATCCCCGCGATGCTCACCGAATTGACGCAAATTTCGTTTCTTTAAAAATCGAACCTCAAAGTTCGCGGTATTGCCATAAAACAACAGATTCTCCGATTTACCTGATTTCCAGACGGTTCCCCACGAATCCGGTAAATCGAACTTTTACTGTATATACACGTGATAAAATCAGCTCACTGATGTCTTTCATTGTTCCCTATATCTACCTGACAGTTTTTTTCAATAATTTCCAGTTGCTATCTCTGATTTTGATCCTACAGGGATGGACAAGCAATATGGATGGACGAAAACATTAGGTTTGGCAAAACAGATCACTGTTCAACATTCAACAACCCACCTTTGTGTCCGAGCAGAGATTTTGAAATCCGAGTTCTGGAAGTTTATGGTTTCGGCGGTGCTTAAATATGTACATATATGAACGAATATATATATATATGTATTTATGAAGGTGGTATAATAGTAGTGAGTTCACACTATTTTGTGAGAAAAAAATAAGGCCAAAAAGTTTCAAATATGTTAAATACCAATATAGCGATCTATATATATATATTTATGTGTGTGTTTAATTATAAATATTACAACCGTGAACTCTTTAGCGTGTGTATATATATGTGTATGTATGTGTATATATGTCTATATATACATATATATATATGAGAAGTTATGGTAGCCCGAAATACGATACTAAAAACAGTGAGAAACAGGGCTGAAATTTATGAAAATATTTGCAGGACGTCTCGGTTGGTGACCCAAGCCATTATCGACGGCTAAAATAAATACAAAATTAAAAATAAGGCTGAAGAAAACACAACTAAAATAAAAACCGTGCGATCAGCCCCAACGAAAATTAGGACTGATGAGATGTAAACAAACTCCCCAACCCTCATCAAAAAACAATGTTGACCAGGGCCAGTCAACTCCCCGTAGTGCCACATCCTGTCACGATAGCAGCACTTATGTCCCAACTTGGAAAAACGAGTGGTAGTGGAAACTAAGTTTGCCTACATCAGATCGAGCAGTACATACTTTTCCCTCATGTTTTAAAATTTCCATCCTTTCTTTTAGCATACGCAGAAAATCCCTTTTTTCATAACATAAGATTTTAACTTCATCGAAATTAAATTCATGGCCCGTCTCCTGTGGATGTTTGTGTAGGGCACTGACTTCTTTGCAGTCATATTCATGACCGTCAAGCTGCCTCGATAAATTATTTTTAGTCTGGCCTCTGGACGCCAAATCACAGTTATTACAAGGAATATGATCAACTACTCCAGGTAAATCTAACTCAGTGGTTTCAGCTTTAAGCTCAGACAAAAGGCACTGCAAAGTGTTATACCTTTTATGTACCACCTGATGGCCATAGTCTCTGAGTAACCCTGAAAGATTGTTATGGTAACTATGGTTATTAGGTGGTTCATAAAACGTACAACACAGGTATAACACAGGTGCTATACCTTTTATGAGCCACCTGATGACTATAATCTCTCAGTAACCCTGAAAGATGGTTATGGTAACTATGGTTATCAGGTGGTTCATGAAAGGTACAACTCAGGTATAACACAGGTGCTATACCTTTTATGAACCACCTGATGATCATAGTCTCTCAGTAACCCTGAAAGATGGTTATGGTAACTATGGTTATCAGGTGGTTCATAAAAGGTATAACACTTTGCAGTGCCTTTTGTCTAACCTTAAAGCTGAAACTACTAAGGTAGATACAAGCGGCTTGACGGTCATGAATATGACTGCAATGCAGTGCCTTTTGTCTAACCTCAAAGCTGAAACTACTAAGGTAGATGCAAGCGGCTTGACGGTCATGAATATGACTGCAAAGAAGTCAGTGCCCTACACAAACATCCACAGGAGACGGGCCATGAATTTAATTTCGATGAAGTTAAAATCTTATGTTATGAAAAAAGGGATTTTCTGCGTATGCTAAAAGAAAGGATGGAAATTTTAAAACATGAGGGAAAAGTATGTACTGCTCGATCTGATGTAGGCAAACTTAGTTTCCACTACCACTCGTTTTTCCAAGTTGGGACATAAGTGCTGCTATCGTGACAGGATGTGGCACTACGGGGAGTTGACTGGCCCTGGTCAACATTGTTTCTTGATGAGGGTTGGGGAGTTTGTTTACATCTCATCAGTCCAGAGAGTATAGAAGGTTAGAGGCCCGACTCAATGCTAGGTAATTGAAACAGAAGCGCTCGCAGCGCGCTCGCTGGCAACGTACGCAACTACTATTTTCTATTGTTTTTCAGTGACTAGCGGCTGGTATGTTGCTGCCGGACCACCTCCACGTAGGCAATTTTTTATACACCGTCCGTCCACAACTCTCGCTTGGCCAATCAGCGCAGTGGTATGGGATTCCACTCGCCGCGCACTCTCGCGCCAACGTACGCAACTGCTTGCTCACGGCTCCAACTTCTGTTTCAATTCTTCCCTATCCAGTCGGGCCTCTAACCTTCTATACTCTCTGCATCAGTCCTAATTTTCGTTGGGGCTGATCGCACGGTTTTTATTTTAGTTGTGTTTTCTTCAGCCTTATTTTTAATTTTGTATTTATTTTAGCCGTCGATGATGGCTTGGGTCACCAACCGAAACGTCCTGCAAATATTTTCATAAATTTTCGCCTTGTTACCCACTGTTTTTACTATACAGGGAGTTAGGAAAGTCCCCTCTCCCCCCTTCTCTATCTAACTTTTTACCTAATTGAGGTAGAGATTTGAAATTTGGAGGACGTTTCAATGTCAAAGGGAGCTACTTTTTGACTCCCCTAAAATTTTCAGGGGGTCCCCCTCGGAGGGGAAGAGGAGGGGGTAACGGACTCCAACTTTTTATTTACAAATGGGAAGACCCCTCTCGTGATTTTTGATAAATCGTTCGAAAGAGCATAAAAAAAGAAAACTGTTCGCGCAAACCCGAAGTCAATATCAAACCGTTTCAAAATGGCGGCCGGTTAAAGTTGGAGATGGCCGAAAATTGGCACCGCTTGTTTGTCAATGGATTTGCCTGAAACTCGGCACCAGGGGGTATTTCAACACGAAAAAAGCAAGATTGACGTTAGATTTTCAAAAAAACCAAAATTGTCAGAATGGCGGCTGGTTGAAGTTTAAAATAGACGAAAATTGGCATCTCGGTTATTTGCGTATGGATTTGCCTGAAACTTGGAGCCCAGGGGTATTTTGGCATGAGATTAACAAATTTGAAATTAGATCTCTAAAAAAAAAAAAAAAATTGTCTATTTTGAACTTCAATCAGCCACCATTTAGACAATTTTGGTTCCCTCGAAAATCTACCGTCAAATTCATTTTCCTCGTGTTGAAATACGTTACGAGTATCCGGCAAATCCATCGACAAAAAACTTAGGTGTCAATTTTCGGCCATCTTGAACTTTAACCGGCCGCCCTTTTGAAACGGTTTGAGATATTGACTTCGGGTCAGTGCAATAAGTTTTCTTTTTTATACTCTTACGAGCGATTTATCACAAGAAGGGTCATTCGAATTGAAAATAATAAGTAGGGGTCCGTTGTCCCCCAAAGGGGGCCCCCCTGAACATTTTAGGGAGGTCAATAAGTAGCTCCTTTTGACCTAGAAACTTCTTCCAAGTTTCAAATCTCTACCTCAATCAGGTAAGAAGTTAGATGGGGGGAGGAGACTTTTTTAACACCCTGTACATATATAACATGGTAGAGAATGTGTGTGTACGAGGGTGTAAGGATGTGTGAGGGTGTGTTGTGTGTGCGCGCGCGAGGGTGTGTGTGTGTGAGGGTGTGTGTGTGAGGGTGTGTGGGTGTGTGTGTGAGTGTGTGTGAGGGTGTGTGTGTGTGTGTGTGTGTGTGTGTGATATGTTACTTGAGCTGTAGCCAATTATTTTCAAATGAAGAAATGATGAAATCAGATCATTTGCAAGATTTTATTCATCGTACAGAGATGGAAGTACACATACCAGATGTTTCGACTGTCACAGCAGTCACCATCAGAGGTTACACAGGAAACTACAAAATCATTCAAAAAGCTTACAAAGAAAATCATTGGGTCGTAGACTACACCAAGGCACTGTGTGTCTTTTTTTTCTTAATTTAAAGGCACCAAAACTCTTTTGGGATGAATAGCTCACAAAAATGATCAAGCTATGGAATTTTTTTCTCTTGCTAAAATTTTTGCATTTTTTTAATCAAACAAGTGACCTGTGTCCTCCATTTGTGTTTTTAAGGAGGTTTTTCATTTTTGTCGCAAGTGTGTGACTTGATCCGTTCTTTCAAATATCTCTTTGTCTGACTTACATATGAGCCATCAGGATTTTCACAATTTAGCTCATAAACAAAATTTGACACATCATCAGCAGGTACAGTATTTTAAAGTTTAGTGGACTTTTCTTTATTATTAAAACGATTTTCAAACACAGTTTCCATACTTGCTACATTTAAACGACTGTTCAATTCTTCTGAAAATTTCAACATATGGAGCATATTAACCCTTAGATGACTAACTGTTTATACCTATACGAAGGGCTAACCTGGGTCTGCGAGGCCCGTATTGAGAATACATGGTTATTCGACAGCTGCGATGCTTTTTTCTCTCTTTTTTGTAGAATTTTATGATTTTCATACTTCGTCCTCTATAATTAAGGTCCTAAATTCTATTTCCGCTCATAAGCTGCCCCCCTCCCCCTCTAAATCTCCCCCTCCTCTCCCCAGTCCCTTCAGATCTAGGAGCCTCTCGTTATAAACACATTTTTATTACTTTTTTGAGATTTTGAGTAAGTTACATTGAAGAAACATTAATACCCCTATAAGCATACTTGAATTTGAGAGGAAGGGGGCAACCTTAACCCCCTTACCCCTTCTACCTCCTTCCGGTAGCTAAAAAATTAGTACTTTCTGATGTGTTTCTTTCAAAGTTTTGCACATAGAAAGTTATTTTTTAATTTCGTGAAAAGAAAAGAAAAGTTTAATATGTGTTGTTGTACTAATACTACTACTAATAAGTCGCTCTCATAGCGCTTCTGTTCGCTCTGCGACACCCAACTGCCACTGACAGCGATCTTGCCAGAGCTCCTCCGACAGAACGCATCTCCTCATTTCCAGCCTTATTCCCTCAATCCATGATTTGACAGGGCGTCCTTTACGTTGGTGTTCATAGGCGTTATGTATTGTTGTTATATGTGGAATACTTTTAAAGTATTTCAAATTATTCGACAAGTTAGAGCAAATTTTGGATATTACTTACAGTGAATTATGAGGTAAACGCAGGACAAAATTTCTTGTGAAGTTTCTAACGGTTTTCCTGAGGTTTTGCTGTATTTGTTGTAGTTGAGAAGTGGCCATGGAGGTAATATACTGTCCAGGAACTGTGGAAGCACTATGCATTATTTCCTCATAACTAAAAGGTAACGTCTTTACATATCCTTCACAAGAAATTTTGTCCTGCGTTTACCTCATAATTCACTGTAAGTAATATCCAAAATTTGCTCTAACTTGTCGAATAATTTGAAATACTTTAAAAGCATTCCACAAATAACAACAATACATACATAACGCCTATGAACGCCAACGTAGAGGACGCCCTGTCAAATCATGGATTGA